TAATTCTGAAGCACACTGTGAGGATCTCAATGGTACTAGGCTGAAAGAATGCACGTTGAAAGCAATGTTTTGGGGCTTTTGCTTTTTATCATAGTAGGCAAGAGGGTGTCAGCAGGGGCATACTTTGTATTATATTAATTCCACCTAATTCATAATTCTAATCTTAGCAAAACATAGGGAACTATCTAGTTTTGCCCAAAGTCCAACTCAGCCTAGACCTAATGGAATAGCAAAGGTAGGTTCAGTATAAGCAGTACGGAAGTCTGCATTTAAGTGAACCTGTTGATTTGTCCTGCATAGTCATTTTAATTGCAGGAGCAACAGGTATGTTTGGCAGTTAAGCAATGTATAAAATAGAAAGCACTGTGCTATTAAAGTCCAATTCCAGGCAAAAAAAGTTGGGACCCCAGAAAACATTTAAAATAAAAAATGCAGTTTTAGCTGCAATACTCACTTTCTTTCTGGTGCTGGCCTCGTGATAATTATCTTTGGCCAAAAGATGACACCCAGTATCAATTAACCCAGAACACTGAGAAAAACCTGTGAGTGCAGAGCATCATGAACCCATGGTGCCCTGTGCTCACAATGATGCCGTGGACCACATCACTAAGGACCACCAACAGCCAAAGATCCAAAGAGGAAGGGGATGCTGCGTATCATGTGACTGATATGAAAACATCTGGAAAAGTTATGTATAAAGAACCTAAACTACTACCAGGAGGCCCTGGGGGTGGGGCAACAGACGTTATGGACAGAATACATAGCTCATCATTTGGCTTTAAACCTGTAGTGCTTTCTACTATACATTGCTTCATGTTTTTCTAAAGTTTAAATTTTAGCTTACAGCTGAGTAAAGGAGTGGAAATACAGTATTCTTATTGCCACTGACATTACATTATTGTGCCCCAGCCCAAGCACTCATGCTTACCTCTAGGCACAGGGGTTACCAGGCTGATATGCTAGCACTTCCAGCAATTCAGGATAGAGAGTAAAAGAAGATTAGGAATGCAGTTTCCTGAACTCCTCCGTTTACACTAAACCTGGAAGTGCTCAGTGTGACAATAGTGAGGGCTGAGAAATTTTAAAGCACAGACCAGATTGAACACCCCCAAAAGACTTACAATTAAGCTCCGTTGTAAAATGGCCATGTAATAAAACTTCTAGAAGAGCAATCAACAAGTCCCAATGTATCCTGGTCCTAATTGGGGGGTCATAAAAATCAAGTCATTAAGTCAGAGCCTGATAAAAGCTATCATGATATAGTCATAAAACAATCCAGGAATGATTAAAAGCGATACACATCCTTCTCTGGTGTCAGAACTAAAAACTATGCATAATTCATAACTCTTGATATGATAAAATTACATTTATAACAAGTAACTACCACATGTATAAGGAAATGACAATCTGAAAGTTGCCAAAAAAAGCCTATGAAGGCTAATGGGGTGCGATACGTCACATGGTGACAACAGTGGTGGGATATGAGACTGCCACTGTCACACTCAGCTCTAAGCATAGTCAGATTTAGAGCTGTCAGTGTCCTGGTACAACAGCCAGGTAAGCTGCAGGTAAAGGGCTCTGTGTCCACAATCTGCACAGAGCAAAGGCAGAGAAGGCATCACGTGTTTAATAAATTCCTGAATGCATTCCTGAAGAGCACCTGTATCTACTTTTATACTGTTATGTGGGGGCATGTAAGACTCTCTCTGACATTAATAAAATTCAATATAATAATGAGAAAATTAAAAGACCCCCTCCCCTCACATGCATATAAATAAGCACATTTAGAATGCAATGATGTTCTTAAAGAGACCTTGTCACCCACCTAAAAAATTACATGTAAAATCACTAAAAAATCAAGTATTTTAAATCCTTTCTTAGCTTTTTTCCTGTTCATAAATTATTTTGTACTCACTTGCAATGCACCCCTTGAACTTGCTACAGAATTTAACTACTCCAGAAGGGGTTCCATTTCCTAGCACAGCCCCGTCCCTTTCATAAAAACCATAGCCCTTTCCTCTTCTGGGAGTGTCTACTTACTCTCTGTGCTGGCCCAGATCCTCTGCACCTCCCCTCACCAACCTACATAACCTTATATGTTGCTGCCAAGGGAGAAGAAAAAGGGAATAATACATAGGGGGTGATTTACTAACCTAAACACACACACACACCAGGTGTGTGTGATTTTCACACAGCAAAACGTATTTATCAACCAAAAAGTCTCTAAAAGCATATTTCCACTAATGCCATATATGGAAAAATCATGCACATGATGCATATATAATGCTGCTTCACAGTTTAGACAAAAATGGTTAGCTCATGCATTTACATTCCTGCATTCATCAACGCAAGCAACATAACATAGAGCTAATTTACACCACATTACCTTGCAATTCATTGCAGGGCTTTGAACAACACACCTGCTGGGTGTGTACACACTACAAAGGTGTTTCGATTCCTCCCATAGATCATGCTGGGAGGGAACACACTACAGAGGTGTATACACGTTCGTGGTGTGTTTAAAAGGTTAGTAAATCAACCCCATAGTCTCACATAAGTGACAGCTGTGAGTCTGCTGGGGCTGATGCCATCACATCCAAGATGGCAGCATCCAGCAGCAGTCTCAGGGGCTTCTGAATGTCTACACAAGAGAGCCCTTTACAGGTAAATAACATGAATAAACTGCACATATAATCTTATGGGAAGATTGTTGTTGAAATGAATAGTCAGGTGGCAGGGTCTCTTCAATCACCAGTTATTAAAAAAAATATATAAGGTATCTCTTACATGCCAAAAGTAACATGTAATTGATTTCTATTCAGTGCAACATGTCATGATGCTGTGCAGTGTTTTGCAACATGCTGCTGTGAAAAAACACAGAAAAGCTGGCTGGTATTATTAGTCGGCGTTTCTGTGTCCAGCAAAAGTGATTTGGCTTATTGTGCCCCAGCCCAAGCACTCCTGCTTACATCTGGGCCCAGTGGTTACCAGGCTGATCTGTCAGCACTTCCAGCCAATTCAGGATAGAGATTAAAAGAAGATTAGGAATGCAGTTTCCTGAAGTCCTCTGTTTACACTGAACCTGGAAGTGCTCAATGTGACAATAGTGAGGACTGAAATTTTGTGAAGCACAGACCAGATTAAACACTCTGAAAAGCTTTTAATTGAGCTCCATTGTAAAATAGCCATATCATAAGACCTTTAGCAGAGCCATCAACAAGTCCTAATGTATCCTGGTCCCAATTAGGGGGTCATAAACATCAAGTCATTAAGTCAGAGCCTGTTAAACGCTATCATAATATAGTCATAAAACAATCCAGGAATGGTTGAAAGCAATACAAATACTTGTCTGGTGTCAGAACTAAAATCTATTCATATTTCATAAGTCTTGATATGATAAAATTACATTTATAACAAGTATCTACCCAAATGTATAAGGAAATGAATAATCTAGTAGGTGCCAAACAAGCCTATGCTATAATGTATAATAAGGTTGATGGGACACATTACACCTCCTCAGGAGCATATATGCATAAGATCAATATCATGTTTGATATCTGTCAAATCATGATTTCATTTTATTTAACATTTTTGGTTATCAGATTTTAAAACATAGTCATTTGGAAATATCAATACAATTAGAAAAAATTGTAAGGACTGCTGAGGGTCATTCATGAGTGCCAATGACCCTAATACATCAGATTGGATTTACTCTGCAATGATTATGGAGAAGGTGGAAGGGGTTACAGCCTATTGTGGTGTATAGGGAGTTTTCAGAAGATATAAGAATTTACAATCCAAGATAAATGCTTTCGTACTCAAAAAATGTATGTTTTGTACTTGTGAATATTTTGGGATTGTGAGACAAGAGGATAAATGGGTTCTTGTCAACATTCAAGACTTTTAGCAGGCTCTTTTACAGTTAAATGGCTTTGACATTAAATGTCTAACACAATGTGACACCCTTACTGATGGTTATAGTAAGCTGGACGCCTGTCAACATAGAAAGAGTTAAGATTCAACTTTCAAATGCTAATCAGTACATTCAATGTAGTTTTTACATTTCCCCCTGGATATGGGTGTGCATCCAGCTCTAGAAAGGCAGTGCCTCTTTCTAGGGTTTAAAAAACAAAAACACCTCAGTGATCATAATGTTATCTCATAATGGTTAAAAAATCAGTATTAGTGCTGTGATAAAGAGGACTTAAACTGTGGAAGCTGTGTTAAAAAAAAGGCAAGCATAGGGCAAAGCACTATTCACCAGTATTGTCTACAGGCTTCCTGCAGCTGGTATTTTTTCCATTTTTGACTTTTGTTTTGCACTGAATCTCTGTGTGGAGGCGGTCATATTAGTAGAGGCAAGGTTTTGCTTCTTCGTGCCAGAGCTTGTGGTCTGATAACTGGTGAGCATTGTATAAATAATATAAAACAGCAGAAAAGGTGCATAAAGCCCTGATCCACACCAACATCAGTGGTAGGAGCAAGCGGGTCCTTACACTGCAGACCCATTCAGGTAAATGACAGGCTGACAGCGACTGCATTTACTGCATCCATGTATGATTATATGCGGACAGCCAATGACAGATGTGGCGGCTGTTAGCAGTCATTCACTTGAATGGGCACAGAAATCTGTGTAGACCCACGTGAGATTCCTCATGCAAGAATCCAGAGGTTCTTGGCGCAGGAATCCCCAGAAGCCTGTGTGCATGAGGCCTTAACAATTTTTAGATGTTCCCTATAGGATAGCACATTTTCACTTTTTGAGTTGAGATCCACATTAATGACTTACCTAACTTCAGAGTGACAGTGAATAGATTTAAGGCTGCTAGTTAAAAAAATAAATGGGTCCCTATTATGTATTTAATCTTATATGCATTTACAGCTTCACATGCAGAAAGCACATATTTAGCAAAAATGCAAAGGGGTCATTTTGGCACTTCTGTATTTGTTTGAAAACAACATGACATCAGCGTAATATCCCCATTAAAAAAAGAAAAAACAAAACAGTTGCCCATCACCCAACATGCTACCCAGAGTCATCGTGCTTCTACAGTTGCAACTATTAATCCATCAATGAACTGATGCATTTTCTAAGTAAACTTAAATATTCAGTCTTGTGTACAAGCACAAATATTTGGTTTGGAAGGGATACACATATATGGTTCAGTTTAGTGCGTTCATTCTCAGTCAAAAAAAAATCTAAATTCCAGTCTTAAAGGGGAGTAATATCCTCAAAGCCCTCATTGTCCACTCCTTCAGGAATATGTACGTTTTCATAAGGAGTTCCATTTTCAATTGTTTCTACAGGTTTCATCCTGTCTTCAGATTCATCTTGTTCTTCAGATTCATCTTGTGCTTCAGATTCAGCTACTTTATTCTTTCTGTAGAAAATTGCAAATAAACCTTTTGTTCAACACACATTTACAAGAAAAATGCATCAAATACACATATCTATTTATCTATCTATCTATCTATCTATCTATCTATCTATCTATCTATCTATCTATCTATCTATCTATCTATCTATCTATCTATCCACCATGGATCACTATAGCAACCTGGTCAAAGGGGTACTCCTTTAACACACACCTGGCCAAAAAAAATATAATTGGTTTATTTCTGTCTTACATTCTTCTCTTTCTGTAGCTAACCTTCATTTATCATGCACTAAACACTGAGACATTCAGGCTATGGAGAGAAGAAGAACCAGATAAAGATAAACTGGTGGTGATGGGTATGGTGGAGAAAAGACCATAATGTCACCTTTCTCTTTGGGCAGCATAGTGGCTTAGTAGTTAGCACTTCTGCACTAGGGTCCTCAGTTTCAATCCCGGCCAGGACACTATCTGCTTCATGGGGTTCCTCCAGGTACTCTGGTTTTCTCCCACACTCCAAAAACATGCAGGCAGGTTATTTGGTTCCTGAGTAAATTGGCCCTACTATGTGTGAATGTAGGTGTATAAATGTGAGATAGGAACCTTAGATTGTAAGCTCTTTGTGGTAAGAGACTGTGCATGTGCAGTATTTAAAAGTGCTGCATAAATTGTCGGCACTATATAAATGCTCGTAATAAATAAATAATGTTGGATGGGTGTGCAACAAGGAATTTTAGTATCCAATAGCATTTTTCATCCATCAAGAATTTGAGAATACAAAAAAAGTCTCTTTATAAAGGTTAGGTAAATCCAGCCACACTTCCCTGTTTGGATTGCAGCTGCAGAGGGTAAATGCTGATAAATGCAAAATAAGTTAGCAGGCCATTGAGTGGAACAAGTACCACAAACATGAATGTAATCAGAAATACCATGCACATATACAGTATATGGGAAGTAACTGATTGAATGTGTTTGGGGCAAATCTTTAGTGTGTAACATACTCTATTTTTGTAAAATAAAGTGAATGTTATCAGCATTTAACAGGAAAACATGATCAATTGCATCTCTTGTTTTGCCTCAGGTCTTGAACCCAAATGCTTTTCCTAGTGGATTTATAGGGGGCTTATGAGGATAGCAGAATTTTCTACAACCCAAGGCATTCTATAAAGGCAAACCATGCAGGACAAATATAGCCTTCCAAGCACAGATTGCTATAGATACAACCAAGCAATGCATTTGTTTGCATTTGAAAATCTTTAAAATTGTTTTCATAATGTGAGGACACATCTCTTCCATTTACACTTTCCTTTTATGCATTTCAACCAAACTTTCCTACATACTAAAATGGGAACAAAACCTTCACACATGGTAAATCTGGCCAAAATGTATACAATTTTGGATCAAAATCTATCATATCAATAACTCTATTGAATAGTAAACCTATTCTGGAAAAGCCCATTCCAGAAAACTGATTTCATACATGTTCCTAGCTGCTAGAAAAATGATAGCCAGGTTACGGAAATCATTCAACATCTTTCAAATGGTTAAAGCCGAGGTTAAATCTGCTTAAATTTTGCCTTCCCTGTTAGCACCTTTCAATCAACATGCTAATTACATTTTTAAATAAAACTCCTCGGTTTTCCTTATCAACCTTATTTTAGATGCAGTGATACAGTGATGCAGTGATGTTACCGCTGGGTCTCTGTGCTTCCTACACAGGCTCCTTTTGCAGGCACACTGCCCTAGGTAACGCCCACATATGATGCTAAGCCTCCATGATTGAAAGAACTGAAATCCAATTAATGAAAGGGGTGGGCCAGGGAGAACAGTAAGGCTGGGGAGGATAGAGCTAGATGATGCTGGACATCCTCCAGTCAGGAAATGAGGCAGGTGTTATCTGACTTTCTGCAGCTTCCAATGGACACTGTGAGAAGATAACAGTGTTCAGTGAGATCAGACTAAGTATTTTAAGCAAAGGAGAGAAGCCCATACAAATGTGTGAGACTGAAGGTAAGGATCAATTTCAGCTTTAAAACAAAGCTGTCCTGGATCATGACCAATGACAAGCTATCTACTTTACTTAATGACAAAATAGAATATTTATAGAAAGTTTAGAATCCTTGGATCAAAAAGCTATTGGGGAGACCTCAGAGCGATAAGAGATTGTGCCCTGTAGGACACCTACCTTACAGCTCCCATTTCCCCCTCCAAACCCATTGTTCTAACTACCCTACTAACCTACCCTACACGGGAGCTACTTACTAACACCAACTGCATTTTTAATAACATACATTGCTTTTATGGATGAATATGTTATCTACCTAATTGTATTATTTTAGTAAGCCCTCTTGAAATCCAGCAAAAATGATTGCAACAGAATGCATGATCAAATCCATGTGTTGGTGAATAGTTTTTGAGTTGGCAAATATTGGTGGTGAATGTACTTCATATATCAGCTGAATAATTTTGTTGGCAAATCTTTACCCTCCCAATGAAAGTTACATTATTTTCCCCTTACTCTGGGCCTTCCCTATAACAAGCATCCTGAGGAGGTTGCATCAGGGGGCATCTCACTGGATCATGTGGGGGGCAGCAGGTGGTGTGCCCCTTTTCTGGCCATAGCGTCCCAGGTTGCTAAGAGCTCTTATCAAACTGTGACACTCTGGCCGGCGTCCTGCCCAGCTTAATTATGTGAGTGGTTGCTAGACATGTGCGATTCGTTTAGTTCCCAATCAAAATTTGTATGGATTTTCTGAAATTCGGACACATCTGAATATCCAAATCCCAATGCATCCGAATGCGTCCAAATCCGAATTTCTGTTTCTGAATTTCGGACACCATCCGAATTTCATTCAAAAACAAAATTGAATCGGACATGTGACTTTTCTGGCCACATAACAAGATATCGAAATATCCAAACCAAACCGAATTATTCCGCAGCTCACATGTCTAGTGGTTGCCAGGAGCTGAATGGGACGTTCTGGCTGGCATCCTGTCCACTCTTGGCAACCAGTGATGTCAGTGAGCTGGGCGGGACATTGGACATAGGTACTGTGCCTGCCCCTCGCTGTAGCCTGTTACCAACATCCCCAGCACACCCCCTGACCTGCACCACCAGTTCCCTCCCCGGACCTGCACCGCCGCACCCAACAGAGGCAAACCTCAACCCCCCGGACCTGCATTGCCAGCACACACAATACCCCCTGTCCCAGGCAGCGAGAATTGTAGGGATGCCCTGTCCTTGTGCTATAATAGCATACTTAGAAGCCCAGTGAATCCTGCCTTGTCCTCTTCTCTTGCACCGCTGTCCCACACATTCTGTCCCATGTGCAGGCAGAAATTGTGTCTAGTCTGCTTTATGTAAATGGGAAATCTGACTCTTTATAAACAGATTCCAAAGTAAATCTTTAATATCCCCTGTATTTTGCCTTTAACCTTGTACACAGAGTACAGAAAGATTTTATTCCACATGCGCTGCACATAACGTTGAAACCACTAGATAAGAAAGTCAAAGATCACAAATAATGCATATCTCAGGCGTTTATGACACAGTAAGTGATAATTCGTATACTCGGAAATCATTAACCTTAATAACATTTTATTGTGTTTAGTGAACTTGGAATTGGTTCATGTTTCTGTGATATGAGAGTAATTATGATAGCCTTTAGCTATTACATGCTAAATATGCATTCAGCATTACTATTTGTGAAATGAGGCAATTATGCTAAGTTAAATGCAAAAGAAAACATATCTAGAAACAAACTCTATCCTGTCTCAGGCCCACACACCCTATATTTAGAATTATGAATAGGTAAAAAATCAATGATAGTTGGTAAAAAAAATACTGTAGCTTTTTTGTGTACACACACTGAGACAGACAACCAGATCTAAACAAAATGTTTGTTGCACTGTATGTTGTCTACAAAGGTGTAACTAAAAACCTCAGGGCCCCGGTGCTAGAAACCATGAAGGCCCCCCCATCAAAAAATGTCGGTGCCTCTGCGGTTACCAGGCCCAAGCCCTCTTCTTCCTTCCGGTCCCCCCAAGTGGTGGAACACCAAGCCTGGTCACATAGACGACCGCTGTGAGCCTAGTTCCGTTAGTGGCTTTAGGTCAGGTTTCCCCTCACACAGGAAAATCCACCTGTGATGTCACAATTTGACTTTTTATGGCTCTGCAGCCCCTAGCACTAGGAAAAAAAAGTCTAGAGGCAACAAACAGATATGTAATAGAAACAGAAGTTTGCAGTCAAACCCAAAAGACAGAGCAGTCTTGTACAGTAAAGAAGGCTGATATAACACAACCAACACAAAGAAGATGTGTATAAACATACAAGTAACGATGTGTACAAATAATAACAAATGTACTATTTCTGCACTATAAGACAGCTGTGCAGCAGGCGATGAGGGCTTACATGCAGTACTACTTTGATATTTGTTCCTCTGTACCCCATTGATATGACTTCAGCTCGATAGCAGTAGATATAGACAAAAAAACTGAGGTTTTAGAACCCCTTTAAGTCTTTGTAATGTTTATCATTTCTGTGACTGTATCCATCCACCTTACTGCTTCTTGTGTTCTTCTTCCTTTCACTTCAGTCATCTGGGCTTCAAGTATAAGGTTGGGCCTGATTTGTTGAATGATCCATTTGTTTGTTTTCCTTGCTGTCCATGAAATTCTTAGAATCCAATGTGATTAGATTTCTTTGAATTCTAATCCTATGAATTCTTAGAATCAGAATTAAGTAACACCCTCTTTTAAAAATGTATTTGTGCCATCTATTGATAACCATCGTATACAGTATTATGTCTGATTTGTAAGAGAAGAGAGCATCACAAGGTTTATACAGTCAAGATTAAGTTAATTAATTCCAGAGTTCTAAAGAAATGCCCTTAAGCTTGAGGGGTTCAGAAGGCCCCCTTCATCAGGGAATAAGACTTTTCGCTGCAGAAAACATGGAGGTATTCTAATTACAAGATACATTTCTGCTCGAATTACTGCTAAACCAGCAGTTTATCTGGACAATCTAAACTTCGTGGTACTTTCTTCTCTTACAATTCAATTACTCTTTTCTAAGGAACCAGATGATGAGCATTTACCCAATCCTAATACTCAGTTAAAATATTTACTTATGTAGGGATGTAGTATTTTCCTAAATTCTTTTTGTGTTTTTGTGATCTGATAGAGTGTCAGTCAGCTTTGCTGTGTGTGCCTAGTGTTCTCTAAGTGTGGAGTGATTATCTCAGTCACATGCTGTGTTAAGCTTGCTCCAGCAGGGTATGCAACAGATAAGATTCTATTTTAGGGTTTTTAACACCTGAGCAATCAGCAGGCTTGGGGGAATATTTAAATCTGTTTCTTGCTACAGGAACAAGGTAAAAGAGAGAAATAATGCTGAGACAAATGCCCTAGAGAGAGGGGGGGGGGGGGGGGGGTTGGTAATGCCTGCACATACAATTCAAGTACCAAACTTCAGCCATCAGAGGGATTACTGAAGTTAAAAATACATTATATCCAATTTAGCAAATACAGTACCTTAATTTTGTCTTTTAATAATGAGCACTGTATAATTTATAACTTACCTATATCGCTTGATTCCTGAGACTGTAAAGAGAATGCTTGCCAGTCCTAGGAGACCAGTCACCACCCCAAACACGATAAGCCAAGATTGACTGGAAGGGTTGGCTTCAGGAGCAATTGTAGGGGGTATATCAATAAACTCCAGAGTATTGTCATTTAATAGAAAAGCACTGTTAATCCTGTTCCTTTCAAGCCTATAAACAAACACATTTCTAAATAACACAAACTGTACTGTGCATGAAATAAAATAATTTTAATACTCCCCTTTATTCCTTTTACTAGTCAATAAACCCTTTAAATAAATGGAACATGAATGGATATGATGGGATACTGATTTTTGTAACAAGACGTTTCCTGCGTTAGTCTTAATGGCCTAATGTAACCACAATCGTATTTCAAAAGGGGATCTTTATATTAGAAAATATTTAACCTCTACCTCAGCATTGCCCTGAAATCCCAGACCCAACTTTACACCAATCAGATTTATTTCTCCTTATCTTTCTTTAGTGGTAATAAGCAATTGCCCACTGTTTCATCCTGCATGTGAGGAGCCCAATGCCTTTCGATATTGGCCTTTCAAATATGACTACAATATATTTAATAGAGAGGGAGTTAGAACTTTCTGAAGAAGTTTGAAGAATTCTTGGAGACCCCAATTTTGAAATATTATGTTACTTACAGAGAAAAAAAAAATGACATCTACTTCCTACTTCCCAACAAACGACATCCCTATTGTAAAGTCTGTATCTCCAACCATGAGTGTCCCTTAAGTGCCCTTTATTATTGGGCCATTTTTTCACTGCTCTACAATTAGGCTGAGAATTACTCCACGATGCAATACTGTACCCAAATGAATTTGATAAACACAATACAAAAATGTCCCAGCACACTTACGAATATGCATTTATAACTAGCTTTTTAAAGTAAGGTGCACATGGGAGGGCTTTTCACTGGGTAATTAAAACCTTTTCAGCATACTAATCATGCTGGGAAATTTTTGCATTGTGTGTGTTCTGTGAAAAGCCCTCCCATGTGCACCTTACTTTAAAAATCTAGTTATAAATTAATTGAAGTGGTTGCCATTTCCGTCTAACCAAATTAATTCTAAAGAGAAATAGAGAGAGGAGAGTGATTTTCTCCAGTGAGGATACAGCAGTAAAAGGCTGACTGAGGTTTTAGTTCTTCCCCACTCAATCCAAAGCCAAAGCGTAATCCAAAAAAATGGCTAGAGAAATACTCTAAAATACTTTTTTGATTGTTTTATGTTGGCATATTGATTTTCTGTAAATGGTTTCTCATTGGTACTAAGATATACCACTTATACCTTATAGCATTTTTCACTTTTGCACTGTCAATAGGTTTTGAACTGTTTGAGGGAGCCGTCACAACAAACCAGAAGGAGACTCTCTGAGTTACATTGCACAGAAGAATATTGGAGATCCTGTGGACAAAATAAAAAATAGCAATATATTAACTTACAGTAAAAACACTTTATCAACTAAGTCAAATGTAAAACTATGAAAAGTGTTCCCAATATCTGTTCTATATGCTGAGTGTGTGATGGCAAGGTAAAGTAAGAGAAAATATATGATTGTATAGTATAAGTAAGACTGCACCAGAAGTCTAAGTATATTGTAACTCTTATTCCGAATTTATGGTAATGGAATATTCTATTCGCCAGGGACCAGAGACAGCCAATTAGCATTTAGCATGCTGACTGACTAGCATAGAGATGCCTTGGTCAGACCATTTTTACGGAAACATTTCTATGTGCACCCCTCATGTACAGTATCCATCGGCTGCCTTGATGTCCATTAATATTTCTGCAAGAAATGACAATGAATGTAACATTTCTGCAAAAATCTCTGCTTATAATTATAGTTTCTTCTTGAAGCAGTTTACTAGGAACTTGTATCTTGTATTGTATTACTATTACTTTATTAGTGGTTACCCTTCTTATATTATAAGTGAATACATATGGAAAATAGTCTATTGCAGTTGAGGTGAACTTGTAGCTCAGAATCACAGAATGTGGCTTTCTAGTGTTACCCCGAACATAGCAAAAGAGGAAAGACTGGAAATGTGAAAATGCGAGATCAGCAAGGAAAAAAAAATAAGAATCTACAGCAGTGCTACACTGAACTTATTACATGGCATTAGATGCAATACAAAATATACAATACAAAGGCCAAACAACAGTCGAAACTTGAAAGCTAAGTATATTAGTTCAGGGGAAGGTTGCAAACATGATTGGGTTTTCAAAGTACACTTAGCTTAACCTTATTCACTAAGCCAAGTGAACATTCACTTTCTTAGGTGAATAGTCTATATTTCTTCTGTGAGCTGTGGTTCCTCATACTGGCTACCATGTCACAACAGGACGCAGTAGTGAGGTAACTGCCATTTATTGGAACCACAGCAGGGAGCCAGAGATCGAACATAATTGAAAGTGTAAGATTCCAGCAGTAGCTCTTCAAGAGAGTGAAGACTGAAATAGCTTTCTGCCTAAAGAGTACGTATGAGGAATCTTCTTTGGTAGGGTGGCAGAGGAAAGAATGTACGTGAAAACATATTTGATAAAATCCTTGCAATGTAAGAGATTAATCCAGTGATGGTTTGTGTTTTTCTCAAAAAAAGACGTGTTTCACTTTAATTGTAACTTACTGAATTGTGTTATTCACATGTGCTCGCATGACAAAGGCCATCACAGCCTTGAAGAGAAATTCTTCATCAGCATTCCAACTGTACTGTTGGAGAAGAGAAGACACACTAAGTAACAGACCTTATTATGTGATCAAATTATCATGGTCATAAAACTGCAGGCAGGTGATCTAATTATACAGCAATATGAGACAAATGCAATAAAAAATTCAGACTTTCCTTTGGCTGTATTCCTAATAATCAAAGTAGTTCACAGAAATGTGAACATTTTACATTTTTTTTAGCTAAATATGTAAAATAAATTAGACAATAATCCTATTGATGTTTTAAAAAATGTTTGTTGTATAATTCGCAATCAGTTTTGTACATGGGGGTGGCCATATTTGCTTAATACACGTAGGCCCTGCTTCCTGTTTTGCAATGTTAGACCATGGTCACACTTTACTGCTCGTTCTCGCAATGCAAGTCTGTGGGGTTGATTTACTAACCTTATAAACAAGCCACGCACAAGTATACACCTCTGTAGTGTGTTCCCTCCCAGCATGATCTATTGGTGGAATCTAGACACCTTTGTAGTGTGTACACACCCAGCAAGTGTGTTGTGCAAAGCCCTGCATGAATTGCAAGGTGATGTTGTGTAAATTAGCTCTACATTGTGTTGCTTGCGTTGATGGATGCAGGAATGTAAATGCATGAGCTAACCATTTTTGTCTAAACTGCGAAGCAGCATTATATATTCATCATGTGCATGCTTTTTCCATATATGGCATTAGTGGAAATATGCTTTTAGAGACTTTTTGGTTGATAAATACGTTTTGATGTGTAAAAATCACACACACCTAGTGCGTGCGTGTGTTTAGGTTAGTAAATCACCCCCTGTGTGTCAGCCAACTCATTATGAACAATGCCCTTCTTGTATAGCTGGTATCTCAATAGTTGCCAAGAGAGGCAAAATAGATGTCAGGGATCCCAACCTGAAAAAAGCAATTTCAGGGAGGTGCCCTTCTCATTTCAGGGAGGTGCCCATTCTGCTGATGGGGGGGGGGGGGAGAGAGAGAGCAACGCCCTGAAGTTATGGCAGATAGCATGGGAAGCAATAGCTTCTTTGCTATCTGCTGTTTTTTTTTGTATTCTGATAGCTGCTGCCATCGGAATAATAAAAGAAAACCAGCATAGGAATGAATAGCTAGATTACTATTGGCTAGTTCAATTTGCAATATCCAATAGCAAGCTGGCCATTGCACCCACCCTCTGCTGCTGTCAATCACTAGAAGAGGACCTGATGGAGAACTTATTGCGGGTGCAATAGTTAGTCTACTATTGGCTAAAGCAAAGTGAAATAGCCAATAGTAGTCTAGCTATGCATTCCTATGATGTTTTTTTTTTCTCTGACTGACAGCAGCCGGCGGCCCCGATGTCAGAAAAAAAAACAGATCGCAGGGAAAGGTTTACTCTGCTAGATCGGGCAGAGTAAACCTTTCCGGAAGAAAATGTTTCTCTCCCGGGAGGCGCTATCTAATAGCGGGAGACTCCCGGAGCGTCCGGGAGAGTTGGGATGCCTGCGCTGTACTGAGCCACTGACAGCTCCCTGTAGTAGCCGATGTACAAATCTCTATAATATAATAACATGAATATAGAATGCCATATCAAAAATGATTAATAATAACTCAAAACAAACACTTAGCTAAGTAAAAATTATTTCTTATCTTATATATAATTTGCAGTTAATAACAATGTGTGTGTTTTTTTTCATTATTTACAGAGACCATGTTGTATTCTTCTGAGTATACTGCATTCGTTGCTTAAAGGTTATTATTTTCCTATTATTTTACTGTGTCAGTTACTATACTGTTTTCAGCTGTGAGCATTTAAAGCACAGTGTATGGGTTTTAGGGTTTTATTGTGGCAGTGTTTATTTACAGAGGATTTTTAACTACCAAGGAATTGTTTGCCTTTCCCTTAATGCACTGATGCAGATATCCTGCATCAATAAATGCCTTTGTCCCCATAGTTTTCATGATGAATGCAGCTGCATTGACCAATCTATAGCATTTAGTTCAAGGTGAACATGTCTGATTGCCGGCAATCATATAGACAATTTACTTGGTCAATAATTGTATTCATGCTGATGGTAAAATTGAAGGAACTACTCATTAGCAAGCCAAGCGTTGTCAGTCTGCTTTTCATTATTGAAAGACTATTGTATCTACTTAAATAGCACTAAAAATGATACTGCACATAAACAATACACACTAGTAACTGCCATCGAAGGTACTTGCAGACCTATGTAAAAAGACATGTACACCAATATAGGTGGAAACTGTAAACTGACCAGAATTGAACTGTGCAAGGAAATTGGAGCCCACAGAGGCAATCTACTCAGACACAAGGACAGGAATTTATCAAACCTGGAGCAGACAGAATCAGGAACAGTTGCCAATGGCAACCAATTAGCTTCTCACTTCTGTTTGTTCAGTTAAGCTTTGCAAATGAAAAAGAGAAGCTAATTGGTTGCCATACACAGCTGCACCAAATTCGGTCTGCTCCAGTTTTGATAAATTCCGCTCAAGTATATACACAGGCTCCATGCAGATAGTGATGTTTGTTGGTCATGTGCTCAGATGAAGCACTGAGATCTTGAGGAATGCTGAATTAAATTTTATTTGCTTAGAAAAATATTACATGTATGTATATGGCATTGTGAAGGAAACATAGAGAAAAGTATCATTGATAAGCATAAACATAGAGACTAACATTGCACTACAAGGCCATCTACAGCTCAAAAGACAAATTACAGTGTATGCTGTTGTATTTCCAACAATGTTGTGGTTGGTCAATAGCACTCAAAGTTATTTTTACCTATTTTATTGTGAAAAACTCATGTCACAAGTATACTACCATGTTTTAGAGCCTCAAATGGTACCTTTTCTCACATTGTTGCCATGAGAAAGGTCCTATGAGGGCCTGAAACATTGGTATTATACTTTGTGACATGGCTTCTTCACTTTTCAGAGTGCTAAGTGAAAGTTTACTCTGCAGTTCTAGTGCTCGCTTTTTGGTGTACCAGCATGCACAAACTGGTTCTTTCAGCCTTTTTACCTCCAGCCTCAATGTGCCTTGTGTGTGGTGTCTGATCTTGTTATCTAGCCTGTCAACTAGGGTACGAGGGGGAAGGGGCACAAGCTGGTGGGCCCACCTAGGGGGACAGAAAGTATAAATCTGACCCTGGTTATGTACTACACCTACTATGCTATTGCAGCCAATGATGTAAGCAGGAAACATGAGACACCTACCTAAAGGTTCCTGACCCTTTGTCCCTAAAAGCATTGCTCAATGCCAAGTTGGTAGCTACAGATCTGACATCACTCACTAATCAAAAGGGGTGGGACATGATCATTTTAACGGGTGGTCACCCAATCCACAGAGGAAGTAATAGGAAATACTATATTTAGGATACAGCTCTCCTTGATGTTGTGTCTGGGGGTCTAAAATGTTAGAAACAATAGTACTGTACCCTAGGTAACCCTGTCCAGTTTAAATATATGTGTGTAAGGCTATTACCTCCAGGGTCATGTAAAATGACAATGTCCGCACACCTGCCACTGTCAGAATACCCCAATGGGGTGTGGGTGGAGATACGAAGATACAAGAAAAAATAATAAGTGTATGTCCGGATTAACTTTATTTGAGCTCATGAGCATGTTCCACTCTCAGGGCTGGATCCTTGGTGTGCAATGCATTAAAAGAAAATGGACGCCAGTCACTTTAAGCTTTCATTTTTTATTTATTTAAATTTTAGACAAGACAAGAAGAGAATAACATTGGACATCTCATATAATACATGTAAACATATATACAAGACAGATCGCGTATCTGCTTAACATTGACTTTCATGGCAAAACAGACATATCCTGATGCTTACACAAAAAACAAAAACAAAAAAGAGAGGGGAAAAAAAAAAAGAAACAAAACAAAATTGGCCTTTCTACAATAAGCTCATAATAGCGGTATCAAATAAAAAAAAAAGGGGGGAAATAAGAAAAGATCAAGAAAGTATCCGGGACATTGCAAGTATAGTGTGATATGGTGACAACACGATTGTGCTAAGGAGGCTTAGAAACATGTAGATATTGCATCCACGGGTCCCAAGTCCGTTCAAATTTATCCCCAGTATCTTTGATGATACTATTCAGTTTCTCTTGTATCATTATCCACGACAGTTTAGAAATGACTTGTTTGAACGGGACGGTTTGGGTTTTCCTGGCCTGAGCTAGGGAGATTTTGGCAGCCAGAAAAAAGAATGACAATAATGCAGCTTCAGGCTTGGACAAACCAGGGACTGGACGATTTAATAAGACATACTGCGGGTCGCGAGGTGGTCTAATGCGAAGTACCTTATATATCAAGGCATAAAGCCTGTTCCAATATGGACGGATGCGTGGGCATTCCCACCAGGTATGTAGCATTGTTCCAGTGACAACCCCCCCACTAAAGCATAAAGGCGATTGGCCAGGGTAAATGGCCGCCAATCTGGCAGGGACCATGTACCAACGCGAAAATACCTTGTAGTTAGCTTCTATCAAGGATACGTTTAACAGTCCTTTAGTTAATCTGGAGCAGCATGTATGCCACAACTCCAGGGGCAACTCAGTCTGCAATTCCTTCTCCCAAGACAGCATATAAGACAGCTTGGAGGAGGAATTAAAAACAGATTAATAAATGAGAGATATTCTTCCACGCGACGTATCTGACTGCATGCACCACCGTTCGTATGGGGTGAAAAATGGGGAATCTGTTGGAGGAAGATTTAAGGTATTCAGGCAGTATATCAATGTAAGTGATTGGCGGTCCTTGAAAAAACGACCAATACGATAAAGACCCTTATCAGTCCACCACTGAAATGCTCGTGCTTGAGTCTCCGGTGGGAAGGCAGGATTGCAGACTATTGGTGCCAGAGGAGTGTGGGTCGATGTCAAGTCATAAAGCCCCTGGAGACGATCCCATAAGGCTAAGGAAGAGGACAGAGTCGGCGCGAGGACAACCGGGCGACGTCTAGGGGTAGTCCACATAAGAGTGTCCACCGGTG